ACATTGAGCTTTTTTTCTTTTGAGACTGTTACTTGTTTGATGCCAACCTACTCATAGCAAGTCTTGGTAACCTTATATACGCTTTATATCTGTCAACTGGCACAAAGGAACCTGTGGTCTTCTACTCAGTGTTGGAGGGTGATTCAACCATCAGATGAAGGAGATGGAGGGCAGTCTGGGAGACCCTGCCTCCTTTCCCAGGGTGGGATTATTTGGGAGGCAGTGAAGTGGCCACTGAGAGTCAAAAGCTCCTTGAACAAACCGATGTCTGTTTCTAATGTGATTTAGAAGTTAAACTTGCAGTGATCCAGGTTCTGTTATCCTAGATCTTGATCATCTTTTCATACTTATTCAGTTTTTTGGAAGAAATTCCACAAGCTGGGGAAAGAAATAAAAGAGTCTGAGTGCTGGCTGATGATGAATGACTGGCTGTTTCTCAAGGCTGGTCGTCCTCTTGTGCCTCAGGCTTCATCTCTACTCCAGAGTTTGCTGTACCAAAGTGTCTCCTGCCCACAGACAAAAATCCCTAACTCAAGGTACATGGTTCTTTCGTCACGTAAAGACAAAATTAATGGCAGGAAAGAAGGCCATAAATTCTGAGTTTCAGAGCCCAACCCCGTAGATTTTCCTTACGCATATGATTTATTGATTAAAATGGAAATTGCAACTGCATAAGAAGAGAAAAATTGGGTGGGTTGACATGTTTCCTATGAAACAAATACAGCCTGCTTGAAATTAGGTATTATTTGGTATTCTGACATATTAAATGTATTAGATATGCGGTAAGGCAGATCAGGGAGAAGTAACTGAAGTTCAAGAAGTTGTCCAACCTGCCCAGAGTGCTCATTTAAACATATGCTTTTGTTCCTGAGCAAATTAAAGAAGTTAAAGCGCTTCTCTCCAACTCCAATTTTTACAAAAGTGCCTCATAACAGGTGAAATCATTAATTAAAGAAGATTCCTCAATTATTCTCTCTGACCTGTCACTGTTACTTACTTAGTCAGCGTTAAGATTTCAGCAGCATCTTCAAAGGCTTTTCGAGACACCACCTGTGAACTAATTACGCTAAAGGCTTAAGTAAGTAACTACAGCTCCTCGCAATGGCTGACAAAATAGACACCAACTGTGCCCCTAATTTTTTAACTGTCGCAGCTAATTCTACATGCTCTAAGCATTGTCACTTAAAATTGAGAAAGTAAACTCCCAAATGTAAAAAGGGGCTCCAGCAGAGGAATCCACAAGTCTACCGCTGCCTCTCCCAAACACAGTGTTGGTTTTGCATGAGCTATAAATGTTTTAAATGGTTTGTCCCCTGTTGGTTGGAACTGTAAGGAATCCTTAAGGATGTGGGTTTTTAAAATCAAAATGGTTTTTATAGATAATCATTGGAAGACATTTTGGGGATGTTGACACATGGCTTATGAACGTCTAGAAAATGTCAGAAAACGTCTGTGCTGAAATTTTACACGTGTGTCTTCTAAATATTTTTTAACAATAGGTCAAAACAGCTGATTTGAGTAATTATGCTGAATATGAGAAGAAAAGTTGGTAAGATTAAAGGTCTTATGTATGTAGCAATTTCAACGCTGACAGATTTTGCACCCTGCAAGAGGATTAGAAAATGCTGGGACCTCATCATCAGCGCAGTACTTCACCTGTTTAGATGGGAGTTATTAATGTTATTCTTCGGCTAACTAGTGCTTAAGCAACACTGAGAAAATAGATGGCTGGTAAGAAAAGTGGCCTGTAGGAGTCAGAGGCAGTAGCAACTCCAGGTTTAAGCATCTTAAGACATCCGTGACCTTTTCCTTTTACACTACTCCTTCCATACACAAAAATACGTATGCTCCTACTCCTATACACCAGTAACAATGAAAAGGATTTTCAAAGATTTTTTGAGACTAGGATCATTTCTGTGTATTCAGAGTTGGACTAAAATCCCAACAGAAGGTAGTTTCAGGATCTTCAGGATTACTTTCTACAAAAAGTAACCTCCTAGTTTGGGCTTTAAGAAAGATCCTGGACAACTCTACCAGTGACGACAATGTTGAACATCCCACCAGCCATTTACCTTGATTTATGGGAGATCCTTGGCCTGCAATTCCCCCTCATCTATCTGCAGTTAAATATTGACTCAGTTATGTTTTTTTTTAATAACCTTTGGCTTGATATTGGAATACTGGAGAAGGATCTGTCTCCTTCCAGCAGCAAAACCTCCTCCAGGAAAACCATCAACTGAAGTTGCAATGAAGTGAAGTTGTAAATGGCAGTAGTAATTAACCAACTAACTGCAAAGCCTAGATTAAGTACGAAGGAGGCTGATACTTTGTCTTCTGACTGATGCAAGACACAAGGAAAAATGAGTTTCTACAGGATCATCCACATTTGTATTCCTGTCAATGCATGAGGGAAAGCAGGACAGATGGACAGAGCTCCAACGGGTGCTGCTAGCTAAAATCTCCCAGGCTGACTTTAAACAAAGTCACAAATCTTATTTTACTCTCATAAGCAGCTACAGACAAATAAACTGTGTTTTCTTCCACGATCTCCCACCCCAGCCTACTGTCTTCTAAGCTGATGCTGCAGCACGAGGGACACAGTTTCTGACACTCTGGAAACTTTTTAATTGCCTCTGCAGCTGTATAACTTCATAGCAACAGTGATGGTATTATCTAGCTATTTACCAGACTAAAATTAGAAAAGTAGAGGGACTATCACAGTGTTATTTAATTATGTAAGTCAAACAGAACATTTCAATGGCAATGCCACTGCTGATAGTAGTGCTGATTTCCAAGAGGACGGACTCAATACTAAATTTTTATCCATTCTGAGGGCTGTTCTTTAAAAAAAACCCTTCCTGTTGTCTTTCCGGGGGAACAGATGTTGTTTTTCATCTGCAAACTGACCTCGGAGTCCTTTCCTCAGCCATTTTAAGTTGGATTAGCTCATGTAGTTTCGTATCTATTGCAACTTTAGTTGCATGAAATTTTTCCTCTGCTGTGTTCACAGGCTTTCATATTCTCAGTTTCACACTGTACTTTGGAAAAAGACCTCTCTATTTAACTCCGTGCTCTCAGAATTAAGGCAGGGATCATTATAAAAGGATGCTATTCATTGCCATTCCCCCATCTCCATCCTGCTCCTAAAAAATATGTATAATTTTGCTCATTTGTTGTAAATTTCTGCAGACAGCAAGAATTCAAACACGTCTTGAAGCTATATTATCTGAACATCAGTTTTTTAGTGAGAAAAAGCTGTGCTTCTGTGTTGTAGTGCTTACCTACGGAGATTAAAAACCGAAATGTTACTAGAGTCCATTCCAACCATCACCACAGAGCACAAGCCATCATGCCCTGGCCAGAGCTTGGAACAGTACCAGGCTAAGGCGGCTTCTCCATCAATTGCAAAACCCGGCGTTGAACGACACACAGACTGAGGTTCTCCTGTCACTACTTCGCATGATTACCGTATCATCCGTGACTCTTTTCGTCTTCCTGGCTTCTGTTAGCTATAAAAATTATTTCTTAGCTTACTTTCAGCTGCTTGGTAGTCCAAAGCAACTGTGAAAAATCACAAGGACGGGAACTCTTATTAGAAACACTATCAGCTTTTTGCAGGTTAAGTCCATCCCTCCCCTCCTACTCCTTCTGCTGCTGTTTAGTGATGAACGGCGGTCGGGCACACCTTGCTCAATCGCTGTCCCGAACGGCTTTGCACCGCAGACACGGTAGATCCTCTGCCCGTAAAAAAGACAGAGTGCTCTGGGAAACTCGCTGCTGAAGAAGGGCTCGTGGGAGGCAGACAGGCAGCGCCTGTGCGCAGCGCGCGTCTCCGCAGAGGACACCAGAGATTGCCCTTCCTAAGCCCTTTAATTAAAAGCACCGAAGATTTATACACTTGTCTTTCTGCTCCTGTAAGTTTTAAGGTGGGTGGATCAGTCTGCTGCCTACTTTCTCTTTTGTAACTCTCTGTTTAATCTGCGTTTTGAACTGGCGAGTAGATTACCTCAATCTCTGTGGCTTTCTGACGCAGTCTTTCTCGTCTTTTTAACTTAATTTGGAAGTAAAAGTATACTTCATATGTAGGTTTTGCCAGAGGAAACTTCTGCTGGTGTTTGTCTCCCAGATAATCCTGACAACGTTTCCCAGCCTCCTCCTTGGAGGAGACCTGAGCATTGCACATCTTACCGCATTACGCGCACCGAAAGAATATCAACCTGCTGGGTCTGACGCTGTAAGCAACGGGAGCCAGAGCACGGTACTTGAGGCTCGTGACTTACCCCTTCCAGGGCTTTGGGAAGTGGCTGGGAATACTGCTACAGCCTGACCTGAAGCCAGCTTTTAACACGCTCTGGGCAGGGCAGCCCCTGCTCGGCAGCCTGCGCTGGGCTGCCCAGCTCCACTGAGGTTGTCCTGCTGTGGGGTGGCAACCAGAAACCCCCGAGAAAGTGGGGAGTCACCATGAGCAGTCAGGACCTCTTACTGCCCACCAAGCACAAGGGCAGGCTTCTCAGCTCTCCAGGAACACCTTCTGGCACCCTAAAATGGGGATGACCTCCCAATGGGGTCTCAGATCCATCCTACGAGTCGTTCAGTGATGAGACAGCAAGAAATTCATAAGCCTCAAACCAACACTGATGTTTGCAGCAACACCAGAAGACAGTCAGGTTATCACAAAGAGAAAACACAGTAATTACACCGCGCGGCTGCATTGCCCCATGTGCATCCACCGCATCACCCTGGGGCAGAGAATGAATGGGAGAAAAACGGAGATGCGGGGAGGGGGTTTCTCAAAAGGGGAAAGTTAAGAAAGGGACAACATGTGAAGCCTGGAGGGAAGACAAACCAATGAGTGCACAAAGAAGGGAAGGAGACAGTCCAGCACTACCACAACACAGCTGCCCACCATCAACTCCAGTTATTGGTATGGCGATGCATCAGTCATGAGTCCCTGAGAAAAAGTACCCAAACATACTTCGTGAATGTATGTGGATACTGACCTGGGCTTGAGACAGGACTAGAGGTAGTAGGCTCAATAATTTCTACAAAAAGGGAAAAGGAAAAAAAAAAAGAGAACATTTGGGAGTTAATCACACATGGAAGACAAATACAGAATGAGACAGCAAACAGTCATGCAACAGACACGACAATTTTATTTAAAGATCGGGCTGGCCATCACAGGCCCGTGACAACATGCAGTCGACCAGACTTCTGTGCCTATGGACTATACATCAGTGCCTTTCTTTTCCCAGCAACGTTATTCCTGTGTCACCAGCATACAACTTCGGGACCATCACACTCCGAATATGCAAATATTCATGCCTGCCACCTTGGCAAAGCCACCCTTGGAGTCCTCAAGCTCAAGAACGTTTTTCCTGGGAATTACTGAAACCTGCCTAGAAAAAGGGGGTTTTGCTCACATTTTTGAAGGTAATTTCCTATGATGAATAGAAGTCAAGGTAACAATTTTGAACAAAGAATGTTTTTAAGTAATAGTTCTGTGCTTTAGTGAACTTCTAAAAATGCACATCTTTTTAATTATTGAAGTCTTTACAGAAGAAAACATTTCTGAAAAACATCAAACACATTTTGAAGATGTTTACTTCACCTGGGGCAACCGATACACACAACAGAAAAAGTTAAGAGAAGAGCACAACTCTCCAGCAGTCAGTCTAATGAAACAATCACCTGTGGCTTTTCATTATAATTTTACTTTAAAATTCATTATGCTGTGCCTTTTCATTAGCTTTGAATAGTGCTATGCAAAATGAAATACCAGTCCCAATCAATCTTGTGCAGAAGCAAGCTACCATCTCAATATAGCAATTCAATACTCTTAATAAAAAAGACTTAACAAAATTACCAAGCTCAAAAGATCATTGACCGTATCTTGACTATAACAAGAAACTAATGAAAAAACATGTGAGCGAGTTGCCAACAAAGGGTGTGCAGGTAATAGCTGAACACTCTCCACTCTCGTCCAATTTTGCATTTTTTCCCCTACAATTACTTTTCAAGCAATTATGAGGCAAAAATGATTTAAAGTGAAATAACAAACAAACATTTTCCCAAACAGAAAGTTGGAAGTTAGGGAGTTTCTTTACCGAGTTATTGACGATAAGAATTCTGCTAATACAGATGAATGTTTTCAATCTTGCCCAAAGCAATGAAACAGGGAAGGGCAAAACCACAAAATGTTTCCAGCTGTCTAGAAACAAAAGATGTCCTCTGTGAAATAAGGTTGTACTCCGGCATAGAGCAAACACGATTTTAGCAGAAGAATAAGAAATTATGTTAAGAGACTCAGAAAAAACAAAGAGTTATCAAGTATTCATCAATTTTGTATTTTAATGACTGTTTTATAAGTTTTATAATAATTTGATTTAGTGGTCTTTAATTTCTTCCACGTCTTTATGTTCTGAGAAATTACATCCTGCTTCTCATATCTCATTATCAGCTTTGCTTCAAATGCATTGTACAATGATGACAGAATTTATTTTTCCAGCTGCCCTAAAATAACAGGATCTTTTTCTCATGAATTTAGGAATTAATCCTTCCTGTTGCTATCACTTCCTATACATGAAAAGGTTCCTCTTTAACATTCTTTGCGACAATCAAGGAAATTAACATACTTAATGAGTACAGTATTTCATTAAAAGGCAAAACACCATACCCAAACCAGCAGGGGTTTTACTAGGATCGTGCCTCTTTTGGCAACATCGGGTCGAGACTTTATGGTAGGTGCTTATGTAGAAAAACTCACAGAATTGTAGCATCGAGGCTGGAAGCAAAGGCGGTAACATCATGTATCGTTCTTGCAAAAAGCCCATTTTAAAAATGTTATTAGGTCAAGGAATTGAAGAGAAGGATATATTTCTCATTTAAAGTTCTAAAACTCTTTGCGAATCTTTATTCATGAAATTATTCAGATCTATAGAGAGAAAACCAATCCAGCTGGTTTTCCTATAAGCACGGTAGGCTGGTTCATTAAAATTAAAATATATTAATGACTTCTTAGTAACACTGGGAAGTGGGAATGTGTAGGAAAGAGCAGTAGTATCTCTACTTCATTTTGCTGGGACCCCAATCCTACAATATCAGGACTGCTCAAATTTTCAAGGGTGGTTGTGGAAAAAAGTATGAAAGCGTAATGGAAAAATGTGGCAGTCTGTGCCATTTCTGTGACTTCAGTGGAGAAGTCTCGTTGAGCAGAAATTTTCAGACTTGTTTCACAAACCAGAGGAAAAGCAACGCGTTCGCAGCACCTCCCAGCTTACCCTCTACAGACTCGGTGCTGCCTGAATTGCTGCGTGCGGGGTCCTCACTGTCAGCTTCAGAGTCACCTGTTCTGGTGAGGCAGGTGTGAGTCAAAAGCTCCTCGTTACTTTGAAGCAGAGCTTTAATTCAAGCTGCCACCAAAAAGATAGAAACAGGAGTGTCCTGGATGTAGGGGTACTGGCATAGCATCACTGGGTGCTAAACATACACGGAAAACTTGTCATTTCTGTCAAGGTCTAAACATATTAATGCCCAAACCCACTTCTTGTTGTGTGGCAGCCTGCATTTGTCTCTGTCCTCCCTGCCAGGTTGGAAGGCTGCTGGCTTTCCAGTCCCGTGGCTGCACGTGCAGACCAACTGCTGCCACCAGTTAGGGATAATGGGACAAATTGCCACCATCAGCTTCAAGCACCTGGTCGACATGCAAGAGAGAAGGTCATAGCTCACGGTGGGCATCTCTCCCGTGCCACAGGGCTCTGGGGACTCTCCAACAGGGCTTGCTGCAGAGCCAGAGCTCAGCCCCTCTGGGAACCCAGACTCCTCCAGGAAGACGGGCCAGAACAGATTCAGCCAAAAGAGAGTAGCACACTTTGAGAAAAGCTGATGAAAAATGACAGTTGAATTTTTTTCTAAACTGTGTACAAGCGTACCTTTTACTGCCTTCTGAGGTTCAGCTCTCTTTACAAATACCCTACCAACCACACAGTGAATGCTTGGGGATGCTGCCAGAGATGCCACCATGGAGAGCAGAACTTCACAGCGATGGTTCGGGACAAGCATGTCCGGAGTTAGAAGCCCCTGTCCTGCCGTTTTAGAGGTGCTGCCCTGCATTGCATATCAGTGGAAGCCACGAAGTGACTGCTGGAGAAGGGTTGGTACAGGCAACGACTGGTGATGGCCGCCCTCCGGGTCAAGGCTGCAGCCCTGATTCGGGTGGCTTTAAGAAGAACAAGGGGGAAGGTTGGGAGAAGCTCAAGAGATGTCTGCAACTGTCCGTAGGAGGAGAAAGAAAATGAAGTAAACAGACAGGACAGCAAATAAAGTATTTGATGGCAGATGGATTAAGTGCATGGAAGAAGTACGAATGCTGCTGAGAACAGCAGCCAGCGAAGTGACGCCGTCAGAAGGGCTGTGCAAATCACAGCCTGACACCACACGTAGCCAGGGAGAAGTGACAAAACTGCTCGAGAGCAACGCAGAGAGGCCTGGAAGGGGGCAAGCGTGCCCAAGGGCAGCGCAACGCAGGGTGGCAGCTGTGGCTGGAGCCGGGGCGGAACAGGGTAGAGAGCACCCCAAGAACAGTGCTGCGTCCTGCGCCGGCGCTGTGATGGAGTGCAGGGAAGTAAGGGACGACAGCACGGGTAAAACAAGCTGTCTGGGTTAATATTACTTGGACAAAGGTAGAGAAACGCCTTCTTGGGACAAAACAAGGAAATCTCTTTATCTGCAAAGTCACATTGTGATAAAAACAGCTAGAGAGTTTTTAAACAGAGAAATGCACCTGCAGGTCCTGGTGTCATAGCCCGACTTCGCGGAGGCGAAGGAAGGGGAAATGTGGGATAAGGAATGTGCGCAGGAATCTGTAGCACATTGTCGCGTGAAGAAATAAAACATAATGTTCTCTTAAAGTCAGTTTGGGTTAGCAGTAGGGAGCATACGCTAGAGCCAGCTGCTGTAAATAACCTGGCATTAGAGAATCAGCAGTTGAGGGAGTTTAAATATAGTGGAAGAATAAACACCACAAACTCGCACCTACAGCTCTAATCCTCAAAGGAGGAATCTCTGGAGAATATAAGCTACTAAAGACAGCTGGGACAAGGAGCTGCAGTTTCATGCCACGGACATTTAATGTTGCCTTTTACCAAAAGGAAAGAGATAGTATCTAGAAATTCCCTTCTGATCCCAGGCAGAAAAAAGCTTGCAGAGAAAAGCTCTTAAATATCGAGAAACCACCTTGTGAAAGGCTACACAGCACAAGGAGGAGCACGGCAAGGAACAGGAGGAACTGACCATAATGAAGCAATGCCTGGGAAACCCAGCAGAGCAGGGATGAAGTGGGACGTGCCCAGCTAAATGACCCCTGAGAGAGGAAACCACAGCAAGCCTGTTGCAAGGCACTCGTTAGCCCCATAGACACCTTCAGAAAAATGACAGCACCTCTGTTCACAAAGGTAGGGCAGAGAAATTAAGCATGGACCTAAAAATAATTTCATTGCTTTAGTTTTAGCAAAAGCTTAAACAATAGCATCCTGAATAACAAAATGGAAATGGAAATTGCCAGACCAAAGTTAAAGGAAAATTCAATCAGCCGAGGATACTCAGGTCAGGGGGATTTAAATACGTTTGCACATAAAATTATCAAAGCCACAGTAAATTCACGGGGAAGGGAGGACAGCAGGCACAGCAGGACTGAGAATTAGAGATCTGCTCAAGGAGGGTAAGCACGCACAGCTCCAACTTCGTGGCATTCAGGGCTTTAGAGAAAGAAGAGGTGGAAGGAGCTATTAAAGGATATAGGCAGGTAAAAACAAGCAAGTAAATAAAAACTGGCTATTAGTTTACCAGAAACCAATTACTTGTAATTATTTGCCTAGAAAATTTCCTAGTCTGTGATTAAGGAACCGAGTAATTCATCAGCCCCTGTTTGCAGAAACAACGAGGTACCAACCGGGTGTGAGCGCGTTCAGAAATGCGAAGCGTGGCTGCAGCCTTGGCAGCTGTGCTGTCCTGGCGCTGCCTCCTCGTCGGAGCTCGTGCAGCCGAG